ATATGTACAGTGTTTCTTCCAGACTTTTTTCTCCGGGGGGGGGGGAGGGGCACTTGAAATTTTCGGAGGGAGGGGGGCGGTAGACTTTCATCGGGGGGGGGGGGCGAACACTGTTAAAAGTATATATTTTCTATATAAATTATATAAATTTCATTTCGTTTTCGAAGAGATGCCTGGAAGAAACTCTATATGTAGGCCTACTTGTCTTGGTATAACAAAATTAACATTCAGTTGCGTGCAGAGGGGTGGGAGGAGGGCGACGAGGGGGGGGGGGCCTTAGGATCTATATCAGGCGGCATTAAACAGAGTGATTTATTATTATTTTTTGGAAGAAAGTTAAAACTGTTGTTATGTTGTGTCAACTTAAATTCTCCCGTTCAATAATTAATAATGATTTTGGTTTTAAAATATTGTATGAATTCTAAAAAAAAATTGAAGTCTATCCTGTTTTGATACATCAGGCCGAGTTCGCTGTATTGTAAACTTTATTTTCCTAAATATTCGGCACGTGATTAAATTTTCTTAAGTGATTTGGTATGAATTACATAACTGTCAAAAGTGATTTAATATCTTAGCAAAGGAAAAAAACTCCGAACATTGGGTTAATACATGGGAGAGATAAAAATCTGTTATTATAGTGGAAAGTTTGACATTAGCTTATAAACTCCAAAACATGTGTGTTATTGTGTGTACATCACATTATATAGGTTTATATATATATATATATATATATATATATATATATATATATATATATATATATATATATATATATATATATATATATATAATGAAAGGCCCGCGCGGATGGTTGGCCCTAGGCCCCGCGTATTCCTAACGCCGGCTCTGGGGGTAGACATATCAAATTTGTTTGTTATATGTAGGCTACACATACCTCTATATATACAATCATATACTTGTGCATACACATACATAAGTATTTTTAGACCAAAATGTCGACAAAGAAACACATACACATGCACTTAAGTGTTTTTACATTTAGATACATTAGCTTGAATACTTACTCTTAGAGAATACATACTGAATTATTTGTTGTTTTTTTTCGAAAAATAAAAATCATTTCATCATTTACTAATTTTTAGCAACAGATAGCAACAGCATCCGATGAAGCTAACGTTCCAAGCATGGATATGCACACGGAGCCAAGTCAGCGAGTAACCCACTTTATACAAGCATACAAAATAGGGAATGAGTTAATTTGTATTGTAACGCTTGTTTTTAATGGTAAGATTCGATTTACTTGCATTTTGTATTTATTTAGCAATTTAATATTCAAATTAAAATGCTGATTTTTACATTCTCGCATACAAAGTATTGTAACCGCGCAGAATAATTAACATATATTTAGAAAGTTGTCGCCATTTTACACCTTCCTATTTTATAATAGCCTATTACGAATATAAAAGATGTATTGCAATCGTGCAAAAAAATCTAAATCGAGATTTTAAGAATTTTACGTTTTGTCTCCTACCAGAAAGGCCCTTAATTGTTATGTAAGACAATTAAGTCATATCTTTTATCCTCCATATAGGCCGTTGACTTCGATTTCATCTTTTTTTTTCTTTTTGGATTTGCTTCCAAGAACAAACAACAAGGCAGCAGTTGTTTGATTTTGGAGTTTTCTTTTCTAGATGATCAGCTGTCATCAGCAATCGATCCTCATCTGCCAGGGATTTGAACTCGGGACTTTAACGACCAACCACACCGACTCCTAAGCAAATAATTTTTTCCTTCTTCGTTCTTATTTCTATTGTTTTAAGAGATTCCCTCGAACGCAATTAAGTATTTTGTGTCAACTTGTTATGCGCCATATAGACCGTTGACTCCGATTTCAGGCTGCTTTTCTTTTTGGATTTGCTTCCATAGCCTTTGTTTAACCAAGAACAAACAACAAGGCAGCAGTTGTTTGATTTTGGATTTGTCTCTCCTAGATGAGTGGCTTGAAACTCATCTGCCCGAGGGTTCGAACTTGGAATGGAGGAGTGGTCGAGTCGGTAAAAGCTCATGGTTGTTAAACACGAAACAGTCTCAAACCCTCAGGCAGATAAGGCTCGATCCCTTCCAACAATAAAAATTAAGAACGAAGAAGAAGAGTCGAAATGTTCTACAAACTAAAATTTAATTATTTAAAGTTAGTTAATTTTCATTATGAATATGTATTATATCTCCTTTCTTACTTTTCATATCAGATGCAAAGGATTTAGAGAAATTTAAGAAAAAAAAGAAATTTATAACCCTGAGCAACGAGAGAGAAATAATAAAAGCTGAAAAGGCGCTTAAAGATGTTTCAAAATTAATACGCAAAAAAGAAAAGAAAAACAAACTTAAAGTTACCAAAGTGTTCAGCGGTTTTAGCCTCCCATTCCCTACTGCAAGTTTTGGAGATATACTAAACATAATGCAAGAATACACCATTTTATTTTCTGAATTCTTACACAAACAAAACCCGGAAAATAATGTAGAATATTGCAATACAAAATTGATCCCCGAAAAAGGTAAGAAACGGGTATTCTTGTTAACCTTGCAAATTATATATATGATATATATATATATATATATATATATATATATATATATGTGTGTGTGTGTGTGTGTGTGTGTGTGTGTGTGTGTGTGTGTGTGTGTGTGTGTGTGTGTGTGTGTGTGTGTGAAACTGTATATATATATATATATATATATATATATATATATATATATATATATATATATATATATATATATATATATATATATATATATATATGTATATTTATATTTAAATATATATATATAACATCGTAATATATATATATATATAATATCTTTCTTTGTATATATAACATCGATATTTTACAGACGTAGTTTTATATGTTGGTCAACAATTTACATCAAATTATTTCCATCTACATAATTGACACGATGATCCACACAATCATGTTTAATGTGCTTAGCATGTTAATGTACACACATAAAATACATCTATTTGCATCTGTGTTTAGAAAGTCAACAAGAGGCGGACACTGCTGTAGAAGAAAGCGAACACACCACAACGCTTGCCACCAATGCTTTAAACGTCCCTAAAGCTATTGTTGATCCACAGCTTTACATTGTGCGGGCCTGCTTACAGCCTGTTCAAGGTAATGTATATATGAGAAGAGAAAGTAGTATATATATATATATATATATATATATATATATATATATATATATATATATATATATATATATATATATACTAGCCGTCCCGGCCAGGCCCTGCTCTGGCTTCTGTGAAAAACCTTCCTGTTAAAGACCATTACCTGTGTGTTTGGTAATCATCATAAACCCGGCATTGCCCACCCAAACCACAACCAACCAAAACCAAAACAACAAAACGCAAACATAACGCTAACACAATTACAAATACAAATGAAAACAAAAACCTAACAACAAACCCAACCACAACCACAAACACCAATACAAACACAAAGAAAAAACAAACAAAAAAGCAAACGAAAACAAAAACCTAACAACAAACCCAACCACAACCACAAACACCAATACCAACACACACAAAAACGAAAAAGCAAACGAAAACAAACCAAATCCAAACGCAAAACCAACCAAAAACACAAATACAAACCCAAAGAAAAAAACACAAACAAAAACGAAAAAAGAAAGAACAAAAACGAACCAAATCAAACCGCAACCACTAACGCAGACCCAACCTAAACACTAACGCGAACATAAACGCAAAGTGCTCACAGTCAAGCCCGGGGCGGAATCGCCTGTTTTAGCTTAATAAACGACTATAGTACCCCAACTTATTCATATTCTTTTGCACTCAATTAAACGAACGCGCCTGTTTCAATTTAATGAACTATTATAATACTCCAAGCTTATCCGTAAAATACCTACAACATTTGCACTTGATCAATCCCCGCTAATTATGTAATTATTTTTTTCCCAACACCAAAACAAAGTAATAAAAAGTAAATTCTTTTCCACTAATGCAATGGTTTTATAAAGGAAAGTAATTGTGTTTCCTAATTTATCAAAGGGAAGTAAGTGCTCTAGGACTAAATAAAGACATAATTAGAATTTTTGTAAAAGATGATATTTTTTAAAACTTTTGTTTAATGACCATGCCGAAAATTATTACTTTCAGTTTGATAAATGAAAATTATTTCCCAAAACTTTCAATATTAATTTTTTAACTCATAAATTTAGACCATAAGGACTGTAATAATCTAACACTTAAATCCATCGAAGTATGTCAACGACAAACTTATTACAAACATACAGAATTGAGCTTTATATTATATATATATATATATATATATATATATATATATATATATATATATATATATATATATATATATATATATATATATATATATATATATATATATATATATATATATATATATATATATATATATACATATATATATATATATATGTGTGTGTGTATGTGTGTATGAACCATGCAGACAGAGCCCTCAATGCGAGCTATATATATATATATATATATATATATATATATATATATATATATATATATATATATATATATACATACAGTAATTTTGTCAGTAATTTTGTCATTTTCAGCAGACGGAACAGATACTAAAGTTTACTCAGCCGACTCTATCTCAAAAATGGAACACCTCTTTAGCAGCGAGACATACTATTTAACATCTGCTCACAAATTAGAGGTTAGCACTCAGGAATCTTAGAGAAATAGAAATGTTAACAGAGACGTGACGATTCGTTCCGTCGCCATAGCAAACTGTCAATTATATATATATATATATATATATATATATATATATATATATATATATATATATATATATATATAAAGTTATTAGTTATAGATCAGCTATGGTAAAGTTCTTGGTTGACCGAATGGTCCAGAGTTCAAATCCACAAGGCAGATTAGGTTCGGACGCTGGTGACAGCATCCCTTCACGTAGAGAACCATCAAAAATCTGCTGCCTTGTAGTTTGTTTATGCATGGACAAAGGCTATAGAAGCTAATTCAGAATGAAAAGCAAGCTGAAGTCAACGGACCATAGGGCGCGTAACATGTTGACACGTAATACTTAATTGTGTTGTAGGAAATCTGGTCCAAATTTCAAATTAAGAACTAATAAGTATGTTTTTTATTCTTTTTTTTTTTAACACGGACTGTTTATAATAGTAATGAGCTTTTTTTTTTTTAATTTAAGCCTATATAAAGTATGTTTTGTTACAGGAGTATTTAGAAAATAAAGAATTTTCGCATGAAAGGAGACTGCAGATTGAAGGAAAAGAGCTACTTGATAAAATCAGAAAGGATTCGGATACAACTGAAGAAATCATAAAGCAACTTGACTTCATCAATTATCTAGAGCGGTCAGACAATATTCTGTTATGTACCAACCCTTTGGAAAAAGTGACAGCATTTCTAGAAGTAAGTGTAGGCTAGAAGCTATATCTATTCCCTCTGTGCTGAACGTTTGCTGGGGCGACACTTGCTCGAAAGCAGTTGACACTAATTTCCTTTTTTTTTAATGAAAATTTGCTTCATTGGTCAATTGTACCAAACAAAATTTATGCTGCGCGCTTTATAAAATAAAACGAAAACTATATGATCCATTTTCAAAAGATTTTATTTAACTTGCTTACTTTGCATGTCTGTCCATCTGTAGTTCTTTTGTCGTGCTTCTTCATGGGTTGAAACTGCCGAGCGAAATTTCGAGCACTTTTAACAGATCTATTTGTTTTAAACTTGTCACGTTGATCAAGATCTAATGACATAGCAGTATGATATCAAATTTGATTTAGTTGGATACCTGATTTATTTTTATAATGAATTAATTCGAATTTCCTATATAAGTTCTATTTATCGCGCTTTTAATTGCGCATTTTTCATGTTCATTTGATGCGAAACAGTTTTTAGTCATGCAACTCCATTGTAATAAAATGTGTAATAAAAATTTTAATGTACTAAAAAATGCATGAAAAACGTTATAATAACATGTTTTTATCTAATTATGCACTATAAAGAAGAAAATAAATGATTTTCTTTGAATATAATAATGAACTACTACTTTAATAATTAAAAATAAAAGCGTGGGTCGCTATATTGAATACTTTACTAGAATTTAAGAAGTTTTATTTGGTATAATCTCATTTTCAGGACCTGACTACTACCATACCAGGAGGCAAGCATTTAGATCTTATTTTAATGGGCAAAACAGGCCATGGTAAAAGTGCTACTGGAAATTGCATCTTAAACGAAAAGCGATTCCCAACATCAACAGATACTACCTCACAAACAGTCGATATTCAGGTGGAGAAAGCTGAAATCGATGGAAGATTGATAAGAATTGTAGATACTCCCGGCATATGGGACACAAACATAAATTATAAAAAACTTTTAGCCCACAAAGAGTCACACGAGGTAGATAACGAAATAAATGATGAAGCCTTGGAACTTGTTGCAAAAACGTTTGCCGAAGCTGTCGCTAAGTTCCAAAAGGGGTTCCATGCATTTTTACTGATATATAGATTTAATGAAAAAATGACGAAGGAAAATATTCAAGCAATTCAGTTTCTGAAAGAAGTTTTGGGGAAAGACGTTATAAAATATTACGGAATTTGTATTATTACGTTTGGGGATAATTTCAAAACTTCCGAAGATGCTGTTAAGGGCAGTTTCGATGATTGGTTGAAAAGGCAGACAAAGTATGCAAAACAACTTTTTGAGGAATGCAATTATAGATGCGTTCTGTTTGATAATTCTACAAAAGATGAAAAAATTAAAAAACTTCAAGTCATTAAATTGGTCTCTTTAATCGACGAATTGAGCAAAGGAGGGGAACGTACGTATGACAAAAAAATATTTCAAGAAGCTCAAGAGAAACGAATGGCAATTATTAAAAATAAGATTATTCCCAAAGTTGATAAACAAAAGATAAAGAAAATAAGGAAAGATTTAGAAAAATACAAACCAGGTAATACAAAACATCAGGGGGAAGTACAACGACTGATAAATGAAGCATCATCATTAATTGAGACTGATTTTAAACCAAATGATCCTAGAATAGAACCACTTATATTCTCATCTCTAACTTTATTTGAGGATATAGAACTACACAGTAGAAATGGAGACAATTCAGGAGAAGATAAGCCAGTTATAACTCAAGATAAAGACGAGCTGGAGAAGGAAGTGGCTGGGGAAATACAAAAAACAATACGTCGAAAATGTTTTCCCGGTGAGGTCTTTGTTCTAACTGAGAACATGGAACACAAACCTATGAACAAATTGAAAGTGGGTGAGAGAGTCCTCACGATGAACTTATCCGGACTTTTAACATACGAGAAGGTGTTTATGTTTGGACATAGAGATCCGCTGTGCAAGAGTGAGTTCATCACCTTGAAAACTGAGGCTCACGTCATATCCGTGTCTCCTGATCACTTCGTTTACTGTCGGGTTATAGACGAAGAGTTATTCCTACCTGCGAGGGAGATACAGTTGGGGTATTCTCTGTTGACGGTTACGGACAACGGCGTAGTAGCCTCCCTTGTAACTGAAATTCTCGTGGAGAAAAAAGAAGGATTGTTCGCTCCTTTTACCACGAGCGGCACCATCGTCGTCAACGGTCTGGTCATGTCGTGCTACGTGGACGTCTTCCGGCATAACGTCTGTCATAACTTGCTGGCTCCGGTTCGGCTTTTGTATCGTGTGTCACCTCGTGCCCTGGCATTCGTCAACGGGTCATCTGCTGACTGCCTCGTTCCACCATGGGTTCTGTTGGCGTTGAAATTCTTAGAATGAAACCGCTCCGATTCGTAAACAGGATAGAAATTCTTAGAATAAAACCGCTCCAGTTCGTAAACAGGATAGAAATTCTTAGAATAAAACCGCTCCAGTTCGTAAACAGGATATTTTCCGAATCGTGTTGAGCCATTAAAGAATAAACCGCGAATGACTGAAAAATGAATAACAAGAACGATAAAATCTACGCAAAATGAATGCTGCAAAGGAAGCGATAATTTTTCAATTTCTTACACGTATTCGTAGATGTGTTTGTTTACTGTACTATTTAAACTGTTACGTCTACAATAAAAATCAAACTGATTAATGCAATAAGGTTTTTGAAATACTAATGGGCACAAAATGATTAAATGTGCGCGATCATACAACTATTATGATTTGTATTCCTTTTTTAATGTATTTCGGACATAAACATTTACATTTACATGCATTATGTATATTTTAATTTACAATAAATGCTAAGATTAGATGAGTTTATTAAAAGATTTCGCAACAACTGAAAACATGTAGGCCTATTTATGCAACTATTTTAAATAGTACACCTACACTCAAGGTGTGGACTGGCGCTGCCTAACCACCCCGGGAAATTTAAAAAAAGGGCCCTTAACCCCAGATTGAAATTTTCATTCTGCATTTTTTTAAGCTGAGTTGTACGCCTTGGTACGGAGAAATCGAAATGTTAAAATGTAGAAATACCAACATATTTTTTTTTAAGAAATCAAATCAAATAATTAAAAATAAAAAGCACAATTCCTGGAAGGCCGCCTAGATCTCTCATGGAAACCGGGATTTTCCCCGGTAGTCCAGTCCACCCCTGATTACACTGCATAATATTCTCCAAAATGTTAGTTAATATGTTTATATTTATTATTCCTGTGCTTAGTGTAACATCTGAGCTGTCAGGAATTAAAATATTGAATATAGGCTATAAATAAATTATGTTTAATTTACACACTTTAATTTGCATGTAAAAAGAGGCAACTTTTTTACAATTTGTTTTTACTTGTTATTGTAATACATATTACAATCATCTATAAGTTATTGCATTGAACACATTGAAGGATTCTAGTTCTAGTTCTATTATTTTTCTAATTTAGGAGTTTGAACTGGCAACTGAATGTAATTAGTGCACAATATAGAAGAACGAACAAATGTATATATTAACTTGCTTCTATTGTTTTTTTTACTGTTTGTTTTTGCTTGTTATTGTAATACATATTACAATCATCTATAAGTTATTGCATTGAACACATTGAAGGATTCTAGTTCTAGTTCTATTATTTTTCTAATTTAGGAGTTTGAACTGGCAACTGAATGTAATTAGTGCACAATATAGAAGAACGAACAAATGTATATATTAACTTGCTTCTATTGTTTTTTTACTGTTTGTTTTTACTTGTTATTGTAATACATATTACAATCAGCTATAATTTATTGCATTGAACACATTGAAGGATTCTAGTTCTATTTTTTTTTATTTAGGAGTTTGAACTGGCAACTGAATGTAATACACCAGTGCACAATATAGAAGAATGAACAAATTTATAAATAAACTTTTTTTTACAGTTTGTTTTTGCTTGTTATTGTAATACATATTACAATGTTGATAAACTATTCAACTGTTAGCTTTTTGAGATTTATTATATTTTATTTTGTTCACAAATAACAAAACAATAACAATTTAAATCTCAAAAGGTAAAAAAAAAATTGGTTAGGTGTAACCATACTAAAGCTATTAGCAGGGTGGTTTGTCTATAAACTTAAAGCATGTGAGCTCAATGATGAAAAATCAGCCTCGGGAATATATTCTCTGTAAGTGAATTTGGTACATCTAGTAGCTTGTCATCACTAAAATTGAGTTACCTGACCCCGATTAGCTTGTGTAGTCGATGAAATCAGCCACTATAAACAGAATAAAGTAGAGTTCACCACTCTAGGGTCTCCTGATCAAGAGAATTTTTTTTAATCTTTAAGTTCTCTTTCAAACCTGGTGGTCTATAAGGCAAGTGAAAAACAGTTCACTTGTTTCTTGACCTCGGCATATGAAGAGATAGATGGGCACCTAAGTTAGGGAAAGTAATAGTGGGCATAGTGCTGATCACACTGAGTTGGGTGGACAGTCTGCTGACTTGAACCCGGATTCAAACTCTTGCAGGTTAGCAGTCCAGCTCTCTACCGCTAGACCACTCCGTCCCCCTTTATTAAATATTTTATTCTATATTTATTAAGTTATCTTGGTATATATATTGAATGAATGTACCACACCACTACAATCAACCTGCTATGTTCCTTAAACACACTAGCATGACAGCTATCAATGCAAACATTAATCTTTAATGTCTTATGTGACAAATTAGTCTCAAGCCTTGATAGTTTCTTTTGCCAATGTAGCACATAAGGGTATATGAAAAACTGACAGGACAGCAATATTCCTGGCATTAAAGAGATGCTTGAATGCATTGATCAAGAAAAGCAGTAACCAACTACTGTAGAAAAATTGCCAGCTATTAAATTTATGAACATTAGCTTTCCAAAAAGACACAAGATTTCATCATTTTGATAACTTATTTGGTAACTTCTTGCTAATCCTGATTAAGGTTATCATGTTAAGTATTAGGGGATTATTATTTTATAGGATAAGGGTAGTACTGAAAGCATATTTTTAGTAGAACACATCAGATTTAGTAGTTGTCCTAAAAAAGTGGATTATAATTATAAACATTTTACAATGATTCTCCATTACATTACTGTTAGGCTACAATTCTTGGATTTTTGCAACAGATGTGATTTAAATTTGCCATCCATGAGCTGCTAATTAAGAGCCAACATTAGCTAATTAACAATGACAGACATTTACAATACTGAAATGCAATAAATCACAATTGAGCTGTTCTTTGAAATGAGCTTTATTCAAGTAAATAAAACAAGTCACTTTAACACACATAGCTTCCAAAACCTGTTTGTCACTGTGAGCCTTTAAATGTTTGCTGGTGACCTGTTAAAAAATAAGATGAAATTGACCTTACATAAAACCAACTAGTGTGGATATAAAATAATCTGATGCTTATCATTATACTAGGAACCTTATCAGACTCCTAAAAAAATTATCCAGTAAAGATTTGAATCTTGCTTACCAACACAACATTATATCATAGATTAGCCTACAAGTTTTGGCTACTTCTGAAGTAGACATTATAGAGTTATTAAAATTTGGTCTGTGAAATTGTTTATCTTTTACATCTCTAGGATTAACTGTTAATGTTAAGTTCAAAACCAATTTATTTTTAAATACCTGATTAAAATATAATGATGGTAGTCCCAATTAATGCATTACTGTTAGAACCTTGTAATTTTGAGTGCACCTGATGAATAAAAAAAAATGTTTGTTTAGTAAATGGCAAACTACTAGAATGAATAATCACCCCATGCACATGACTTAATATTAAGAGACTCAACAATAGTGGTGATTGAGAATTGATACAGGCTAATTCTCATATGTTAACTAATAAAAAAATAAACCCAACATATAAATAATATAATGTAATTTTATAAACTACCCACCATTTTGGATTCACCAGAGCCATACTGATCTTGGCTGCTTTTTAATTGTAGATTCTATGGACCGTACTTCTTAGTATGTGGCAGAACATGGTGTCCATCAGCAAAGTATGAAGTGTGGCCGCTGTTAATATTTAAGTAGAGGTAACAGTTGTAAGTTGTAAGTTCATCATCATCATTCCTTTGTGGCCGCTGGGGAGCAAAGGGCTGCAACCACACATTCTCCATCGGACTCGGTTTTGGGCTGCCCCCTTTATCTGTGCCCATGTGTGCCCAGCTGCTTTAGCCTCTTCTTCAACCGTTCTTCTCCATGTCTTCCTTGTAAGCAGGTTATCCTCATCACAAAACTGTCAAACAGAAAGAAGAAATGTACCATAGGTCAAGCAGAAACTTAGGCAGGAATCATTTAAAAACCAGATGAGGGGGTCACATGTCACAGTTAGTCAGTCAAGCAATAGCATCAATCTAGGGACAAGAATTTTTCTAAGGTTATTGTCAAGCAACAGTTTTGAGCATAGATAAGATAGTTATGTTACAGTAGAGGAGATCAAGATATACAGGTGAATAGGATTTTAGACACAAGTTCAGGATAGTATTAGTTAGAATCTTTTAACTATGTCCAAATCAATTTACTCCTAATTCTAAGTTTATTATGTGTATCCCACAAGAAAAATATGTCATGAATAACAAAAGAAAGTCCATCCCTAACATGATAAACTAACAGTATACATATAATATATATATATATATATATATATATATATATATATATATATATATATATATATATATATATATATATATATATATATATATATATATATATATATATATATATATATATATATATATGTATGTATATATATATAATTTTATATTTAAGTTTAATTTAAACCTACCCTCACTCCACAATACCCACCTGAACTGGATAAGAAGACAGCCACACCTTTACATCACCTGGTAATGGAAGGGAGGGGGAGAGAAGAAGAGAGATTCCAGACAGTTGTAGTAACACAAGATTAGGCAGTAGTTTAGAAATAGGTCAATACTGAGAGATTTAGATTAGCACAGGATTACAGACCAATAGCTAGCCATTGGTCAAGTAGTTGGAGCAGGTAGGAACCAATAGAATGTCTAAACCAATGACCAGTAAGGTTCAGTTGAGGTTTAATAGTTGAGTTTCAATGGGAAGATGGCAGTTGACACATCTTCACAATATATCACATTGTCAAAAAACTTTTGTGATGGGACATCAAATTGATTGACATTTTTTTTCCAATGTTGCACAGAATTTCAAAGATAAGCAGTGGCAAGTACTTTATAAGTAGCTACATAAGACAATGTCAATATGATCAATTTCAAATTTCAGCAAATTCAAAGAGAATAAAGCAAAAATTGGATGGAAAAAAAGTCAATTAAACTGATTAATCAAGATGAATTATTTGTTTGTTTGTTATTTGGTGATTAATTTTAACAATAACAATAAGGTAGTACTGTTTTAGATTTTTAACCTTAACTACAGTTTTTTTTTTCTTACAATCATGTACAAAAAATAGGATTTCTTTGTGTATACAATTCCATTATAACTGGGGTCAAACCCATTAACTTCAGCTGTTACAAATAAATCAATACAGCAAAAAACTAAGCACAGTTATGCTGGTGGTTGATGGAATGACAGGTAATAACCGGACGGTGATGAATGGGTGTTTTCCCAGTCGGTTTGACACCCGACCATGATTAATTGCCACAAGTGCTGGCTCCCCTGCTGCTCTGGCAAGTGAGGCTCTGCTCTGTTATGCCAATGTGAGGTGATTTATCGCCCTGGAATTTCTTTGTCTTCCAGGAAGGTGAGGTGAGCCCTGGGATTTCTTAGTCTTCACCCAACCCCTGTAAAAGTAATTGCTTTTCTTCTACACTGTGGTCAAGTCATTACTTTTTATCTGGATACCATCTGTTTTGCAGGAGACAGTCTGACTCTACACCTAAGCCAGCCAAAAGTATAAATTAACACGAGAATTTGTTCTAAACCACTTCGGCTTAGGACTGCAGACCACCAACACATCCACCTAAACAACCACAGACCGCATACTTTGTGAGTGTTTACTGAACTTAAGGAATAAAAATTAAAGTTAAGGTTAATTTATTTATTTTTGTTTTAAAGGAACTAACCCCACTAAAAAGTTTCTGATTATACCCTTTAAATAAATAAATATTTTTTTATAAAAAATGTATTCACTTTAATTTTGTATTGTACAACCGACCCAAACTCTAGACCACTACTAGAATAGGCTTATACCCTTTTTTAAAATCTTTTTCTAAATAAGTAGTCAAATGCTTGCGCTTTACTTTTAAGTTTACATCGGACCCAACTATACAGCCAACCAGCTGCCCCAACCACTAAACAACCCATTGAGCTATCCACCTAACCGATCCAACCGCCTACAGCTACACCACTACGGATCTAACTCAACCCGGCTTAGACGTTCAAACCAACCCTGAGGTAAGTTCAATATGTGAATTTAAAATATTTAAATTAATATATTTTTGTTTTAAAGTTGTCAAATGTATTTACTTAATTATTTTTATTTTTTATTTATTTATTTTTTATTCCACAGCCAGCGACCCACTCATCCAGCCGAGCCAACCATTAGACAGTTCGTCAATAATAGAAGCCACCCATCCAGCTTTGACCCGTTACAAGTGCGAGATCTGTGACCATGTATTCACCCGCAAAGACGCTTTCATACGCCATTAAGATACGGCACACGGACAACAAAGACATCCCTGTGTAAAGTGTGAAAGTATTTACACGACTTGACAATTTAACAAGACACTATACCATAGCGCACTCTTTCGCGAGTTTTATGTGTAGCAAGTTATGGCCCACCATTAGGCAGCTGAACAGACATGAGTCAGGGTGCAATGGGGGCAAACCCGTAGAAAGGTATAAAAGAGGGATTTATCATACACAGAAAACAATCAGGGAGTTTTTAACATCGTATAGGGTAGATGTAAATACAAACTTTGTTTATCCCTTCAGCGCAACGTATGATTTTGAATGCTTTTTCGATCAGTCAGAGTTATCCGAGTTAGGTAGTGTTACAACAAGTATAGCAAAGCACATGCTTTTGTCTTGTTTGATAGCTGCTAACGTATACGGGTTCGAAGAACCAATTAATACATTTGTTGATTCAGTCTTTTCTTTGGATTTATCCGGATGCGGTGTTTTCAAGAGTTTAGCTAAGTCAATGTTTTAATAAACTTTATTACTCCAACAAGTGTTCCATACCTGTGTACCACTGATATGTTTTGGCTTTTAAAATAACACATGATTATTATAATTAAATACAAGTCCAACTACTTTGTTCTGGTGCAACGAGTGCATAATTAATAATTTATGCATCTTCTGATTTTAAAGTGTTGATTGAACTAAATGATTTTATAAAATCAATTGTTTTAAATTATTTAATTTTTATGAGTCATTTTAAAACCCATTTTATTAAAAAAAAATTGTACATGTGAAAAAACTACAAAAGGCATCAAACAGCAAAAGAGATCAGAAAAAGTTCAGATAACCTGATTCTCTGAATTATACAACTGCATACAGTAAGGACACAAAAGTCAAGAAGAAATTCCATTTTTAAAAAAAATTCCATTTTAAAAACTAGATGGTTATAGTTGTAAAGAACAGTTTGAGTGAAATCGGACTACACATACATGTTGGACCAAGACAAATTCTACAGGAAGCCAAATGATATTTTTGATACCCTTTCAATCAGTGAGCAAATTAGTGAATGAAAGATGAAAGAGGTGGAATGTTTGTACATAATGACCTATTGCGTCAATCTACTCCTTTCCTACAGTATCTCGCCACAAGATGCAGGCAGCTCAGGTTTTGAAGACCGTTATTGGCCTTGTACTCTCTCTGATTGTGCTGACGACTTGGAGGTCCATCGGATTGCACCGTCTCTTATGGAAATTCAGCATGGACTTCAAGAGGATTTAGACCGGATATGGCAGTTTAAGATGAACCCTGAGAAGACCTGAGTCTACATCAACAACAATAACCGACCTACCCTTGCCAAACGTTTATGCAATAGCAGAAGAGGCTTATCCTGAAGGATGGCGTGCTGTATCGGTCTACAATTGAACCCAGTAATGCAAGTGGTTCTGGCAGAAAAGTACTGACGCCAAGCCTTAGGATTGGGCCACGAGCCCAACAGTCGGGGCTGGGATGTTGTCTGCAAAGTGGCTGTTAATGGCCGAACATGGAGCATGATGTCCGTCAACGCTGTATGAAGTATGAGACTAGTGTCAACATGCGAAACTACTGGCAGTTAAAGTACACCAGCCTCCGGGACATTTGCTAGCTACACTTCCACTCTAAGTGGTGGCTTTAGATTTTAGGGTGGTTGAAAAATCATGTACAACGCCATATAACCCCAGAGGGAATGGTCAGGCAGAGAGATTCAATATCATGATGCATGACCTCTATATGATGTTCAAATCGATAGTGAAGGAAACCACTATGCAAGGGAAGAGATACTAGAAACAGGTGAATACGACACCACGGACAACATATTCCATCATGTTTCAAGAATAGAGAAAGACAAACCCTAATCATGTTGACCTTGCTAGACCTAGGCACACAAGATTATTGAATACCTTATTCTATGTAAGGCTAAGTTCTAGTATAGTCACCAGAAACATCTCATTGAGCTAAAAACTCTTAAAAGCTTCTCGTGAGAATGAAATGAATTGCTATTAAATATTATAAAAAAGAAAAAGGGTAAAGCTAATATAATATGGGGATTGGCTCTATAATGTCCAGGAAATTGATTATGTAATTGAAATATTGCAGACAGATGTGAAAGAAGTTCTAAAGATGGACTAAAGGTCAGAGGATTATAAACATTTGAGAATGGTGGAATTAAATGTTCATAAACCAGATGGACTAAAGGTCAGAAGATTATAAACATTTGAGAATGGTGGAATTAAATGTTCATAAACCAGATGGACTAAAGGTCAGAAGATTAAACATTTGAGAATGGTGGAATTAAATGTTCATAAACCAGATGGACTAAAGGTCAGAAGATTAAACATTTGAGAATGGTGGAATTAAATGTTCATAAACCAGATGGACTAAAGGTCAGAAGATTAAACATTTGAGATTGTTGGAATTAAGTGCTCATAAACCAGATGGACTAAAGGTCAGAAGATTAAACATTTAAGAATAGTGGAATTAAATGTTCATAAACCAGATGGACTAAAGGTCAGAAGATTTAACATTTGAGAATGTTGGAATTAAGTGCTCATAAACCAGATGGACTAAAGGTCAGAAGATTCAACATTTAAGAATAGTGGAATTAGAATGTTCATAAATCAGATCTATTCCTCAGCAGCTTTGCATGATGAGTCAGGATGATGTAGATTGCAAGTCTGAAAAACAGTAGATCGACACTGCTGTTAAAATATTAGCAGTATTTGTAAATCCATTAAAATGTTGCATGTCAACATGAAACTTTTCTCTTAGAAAGTTGTATATTACATATTGACATGTGCCTGGGTTTTTTTTCATTCCTCCACAAAAGGTTTACAAACCTAATGAACATGCGCAACTTTTCTCTGATTATATTAGGAAGATTTGTATATTGCATTTAAATGTTATACATTGAGGAATATATTATTAAAATAAGTGTTAGATTTTCAGACAAACAACTCATCTCTGACCAATGAATTCAATATGACCTGTGCATTGCAATAGCAACGTTTTCAATAGATTGTTTCATTAAAGATTTTTAAAATCTTGATGAACACAGCACTGTGTCAACTACTGAAATAAATTAGAATGTTTTAAAAGAATGCAAGGGAGTATAAACATTTTGAAAGTGTTATGCAACAACCAGAGAAGTCAAGCTGCATGAAATGAATGGTTTTCAAACCATCAACTAGAATGGTGTGCATTTAATGGTCACTCATTGAGAGCAGATATGGAAAGAAAAGCATAGTCAACTATGAGCAAAATGGTGTTGGAACAACAGGAGCATTAGAGCCCGTAAGAAATTATATATATATAAAAAAGGAAAAGTATGGGATAAAATTAATTGTTTAAGTGAAGGAAGCTCCAAAAAATTATTTCTGTATTAAAAATTATTTCTGCATTACCATTGGATAAATAATGCCTTCTAAAACATTCAAGCTTATTATATCTGTAGCAAGATAGGCCTCTGGTAAAATAACACACAGGATGATTCTATCCAATGGACTAAAACATTGTTCTAAACAATGTTACCAATGCAGCTACAGAATTGTATTCAGCTTAAAAGCTAAGAAGTAGGAATGTCCAAAAGCCAATGGGACATAAGATTAATAAACAATGTAAACAAATGCAAATATAAATATTTAGAAAGAGGAAGATAGCAAGTTAAAAAGGAGCAGGTAAACTTCCACAATTAGCAATAAAGAGAATACAAGGATGTCATGGTGGTGCTATTTTATTGGGAAAAATAGCAAAGATTATTACCTTAGGGTGAAGCTACGGCCGAGAGAATTAGTTTAGTTGAATGCTATCTTTGTTATCATGTGGAAGTGGGTGTCTTTTTTTATTAAAGATACCAACTAGCAGTGGGACGGGGGGGGGGGGGGGGGGGTTGGACTCAGTTATAACTAACCTGGACAACTGTCAGAGAGATAAGTTAAAAGCTTATTATATCTGAATGGACAACTGTCAGAGAGATGAGGAGAGGCAGAAGTTAAAAGAAAATCAAGCTGAAGTACAACTAATGCTTGAATACATCAATAAAAAAATCTTTAAAGACAGAATCAGCCATGAAACTAATGTCAGCTTTACTGGATGTTGAGCTAAACCTGTCAGATTTAGGGGTTGATATTTTCAAAGACGCGATTTCTGTTTCTGGGGTAACAAAATACCTATTTAAAACACTTCCAGAAGACGTATCTTTTTCTTTGTGTTCTGAACTCGAGTCGGAGTTACATATGTGGGTTCAAGGCCTTTTGCGGAGAAAAAGGAATTGTAGTAGGAGAGTTTGTCCGGTGTGTGGGTAACCGGATGCATGTGCTGTTCCGCTCAGCAGGCAATATCATTTTTCATCAGGAACATCAGTTTGATATGCCAAACTTCAGAGAAAATATGATAGAAGAAATTAACGTTTACAGCCTAACAACATTTTATTATTGAATAGGTAACTGGGAGTTAATAATTGGATGTTGTTAAAGTTTTACTTCATGTTTGCTTTATTTTGCAAAGCAAGTCAAGTTTTTAGTAAAATGATTTTGAAGACAGGTAAGCTAGTTAGTTTCACTAAACTTAGTGCTTCTGCTTTCACTTTTGATCCTGGTTTTAAGTTTTTTACATTTATATCAATTCATTTTAGGGTGCTTTTATGATTCCATTTCACCTACATATTTTTAGTTACATTTTAAAAAGAAAGATCTAAAAATAACCATTACAATGCATTGCAATGTTTTAAAAAACCCTACGGGTAGTACCACTTGGCAAGAGGGGTTTTAATGACAGGTACATTGTTTACAATTTTATCATCATGTATTATGATGTAAGTGTAAATATGTACATATAAATAGAACAATTAATTTTTAAAGAATTTACATGTTACTTGTGATGCTGGCTCATATATATATCTGTTGAAACTTATTGGAAAATCCCTAACTGGGCCATGGATGACTAAGTTTTACTCAGATACCAAGAATTTGGCCATGGTTCCAGTGATACAAAATGCAGAAAAAGTTAGGAAGAGATTTTCCAAGGACCCAGAAGAGCTACTGAAATAAATTAGAATGTTATAAAAGAATGCAAGGGAGTATAAACATTTTGAAAGTGTTATGCAACAACCAGAGAAGTCAAGCTGCATGAAATGAATGGTTTTCAAACCATCAACTAGAATGGTGTGCATTTAATGGTCACTCATTGAGAGCAGATATGGAAAGAAAAGCATAGTCAACTATGAGCAAAATGGTGTTGGAACAATAGGAGCATTAAAGCATTAAAGACTCAGTTATAACTAACCTGGACAACTGTCAGAGAGATAAGGAGAGGCAGAAGTTAAAAGAAAATCAAGCTGAAGTACAACTAATGCTTGAATACATCAATAAAAAAATCTTTAAAGACAGAATCAGCCATGAAACTAATGTCAGCTTTACTGGATGTTGAGCTAAACCTGTCAGATACCAACTAGCGGTGGGACGAGGGGGGGGGGGGGGGGGGGGGTTGGACTCAGTTATAACATACAGGACCAATACTATGTGAATCAAAACAAAGCTGAGATTCATACACAGAACATCGAAAACTTTTGGATGAGGGCCAAGAGAAAGCTTAAGAGACAGTTTGGTATTAATCGTGTGTTGCTTCCACAATTAGCAATAAAGAGAGTACAAGGATATCATGGTGGTGCTATTTTATTGGGAAAAAAAACAAACATTATTACCTTAGAGTGAAGCTACGGCCGAGAGAATTAATTTAGTTAAATGCTATCTTTGTTATCCTGTGGAAGTGAGTGTCTTTTTTTATTAAAGTTTATTTAAGTCTTAAAATTGCACGTGAGTTTATGTTATTCAATCAAGGTGGCAATGTAACCTGTCTTTCGTAAATTGTTACCTTAATACCTCACCTCACTGCACTCATCGGCACCATCACTTTAAGGTGACATAGCTAATCATCAAAAATGAGCAAAAAAGCTAAAAATGTAGCGATTGTCAAAGAGGAAATTTTAAAGCAACAAGAAGAAATACTTTGACATATTCTCACTGGGAATCTGAAGGTGGGGCTGAATACAGTAACATTTCACAGCTGGCACATGGAATTCTTGAGCATGGAGTAGTTATACAGGACCAATACTTTGTGAATCAAAACAAAGCTGAGATTCATCATACACAGAACATCGAAAACTTTTGGATGAGGGCCAAGAGAAAGCTTAAGAGACAGTTTGGTATTAATCGTGTGACCCATCCAGCCACCCACCCAGCTTTGACCAGTTACAAGTGCGAGATCTGTGACCGTGTATTCATATGGCATCAAGATACGGCACACGGACGACAAAGACATCCCTGTGTAAACTGTGGGAAAGTATTTACACGACTTGACAATTTAACAAGACACTATACCATAGCGCACAGCAACAAAACATCACCAAGCGACACCCCATCAGCGACCGATAGACAAACCATCCAACCCTCATCAGCAACCGACAACTACACCACTACGGATCGAACTCAACACGGCTTAGACGTTCAAACCAATACTTTCTTTTTCGTAGTTACTGCCCCTGCTCCCCCCCCCCCCCCCCAGTTTTTATTTCCGACAGGAAGACAGGTGCCCACGTGGCGAGGCCATCTTGATTGAATGCGTTGAAGAGAGATAATAAACGAGAGATAATAAACGAACTTTAAATCCAGCTCCAATCCAACTTGTATCCACCCATCCTAGGCCGAGAAGATGACCACCATCACCGTAAACCTGGGGACTTCTGCCCCAAAACAAATTCACAAACCAAACACACTTAAAATAACCATAACATCAGACAAAGCCTATGAAGTCAACCTACATACAATAAAGACTGCAATTGTTCAAGCACACAACATCAAGCCAGAGGAGATAGATTCACTATACAGATTTGAGAACTACAACATATGGTACATGACCCTTAAGAAACCAAACCTAATCCAAAAAATCCAGGGTTAGGGTTAGGTAGAAATGCTAAAGAAGAAGATAGATTGGGATCTTCCTCTACAGATAGGTTTTTCCGTTTACCAATACGCGAAAATTAGGATGCTAGAATTTTATTATGATTTTATAGACAGGTATATAGATAGGACTGACTTTCAGCTCTGCGAGATGGACACCGGCAGCTTATACTTAGCGCTAAGCACCGATGACTTGTTAAAAGCCGTTAGACCCGGACTATAGAACACGAGTTTTTTGACATTTAATTTACAACAAATCGCCACCCTCTGAGATATGTGACTCCAATAGACAACGTACAAAGGACTGTCTTTTCACATAGAAAAAATGGAAGAGGATAAAATGTATGCAACCATGCAATGGGTACCCCCCACTCTCACCACAGAAAACATCAAAACAATTTTGAAAGCATTCGCAGACACCGAAAAAGAAATCAAGGCAAGAACAAACACTGAAGGACAGAGAACCTGACACCCAAAGACACTGCAGGTAGGTCGACAAATATTCTCAATCTATAATGTGTACCAACCTTGGTTCGTCTCCCCTGATTTTCGGGGACAAAACGTGTTTTTTGCTGATGATTTTAATGCCAGCGATAGTGATAACCTAAGCCCATGCACTGGGAGTGCTTCACTATCATTATTAAAAGCTTGTGTTTACATTTTAAATAAGGCCAATGTCTACTCAAGCGCTTTTGTGCTGAAAATGCATGCATTACACTTGATGAGTAGATGAATAATTGAGATTCAGATTAAGAAATATCAGTTTTATAGTCTGATAAGGATAATAATTATGCTTGATGAGTGGAAGAATAATTTAGATTTAGATTAAGAAATATCAGTTTTATAGTCTGATAAGGATAATAATTATGCTTGATGAGTGGATGAATAATTTCGATTCAGATTAAGAAATATCAGTTTTATAGTCTGATAAGGATAATAATTATGCTTGATGAGTGGAAGAATAATTTAGATTCAGATTAAGAAATATCAGTTTTATAGTCTGATAGGGATAATAATTATGCTTGATGAGTGGATGAATAATTTAGATTCAGATTAAGAAATTTCAGTTTTATAGTATGATAAGGATAATAATTATGCTTGATGAGTGGATGAATAATTTAGATTCAGATTAAGAAATATCAGTTTTATAGTCTGATAAGGATAATAATTATGCTTGATGAGTGGATGAATAATTGAGATTCAGATTAAGAAATTTCAGTTTTATAGTCTGATAAGGATAATAATTATGCTTGATGAGTGGATGAATAATTTCGATTCAGATTAAGAAATATTAGTTTTATAGTCTGATAAGGATAATAATTATGCTTGATGAGTGGATGAATAATTGAGATTCAGATTAAGAAATATCAGTTTTATAGTCTGATAAGGATAATAATTATGCTTGATGAGTGGATGAATAATTTAGATTCAGATTAAGAAATATCAGTTTTATAGTCTGATAAGGATAATAATTATGCTTGATGAGTGGATGAATAATTGAGATTCAGATTAAGAAATATCAGTTTTATAGTCTGATAAGGATAATAATTATGCTTGATGAGTGGATGAATAATTGAGATTCAGATTAAGAAATATCAGTTTTATAGTCTGATAAGGATAATAATTATGCTTGATGAGTGGATATAGTCTGATAAGGATAATAATTATGCTTGATGAGTGGATGAATAATTTAGATTCAGATTAAGAAATATCAGTTTTATTGTCTGATAAGGATAATAATTATGCTTGATGAGTGGAAGAATAATTTAGATTCAGATTAAGAAATATCAGTTTTATAGTCTGATAAGGATAATAATTATGCTTGATGAGTGGATGAATAATTGAGATTCAGATAAAGAAATATCAGTTTTATTGTCTGATAAGGATAATAATTATGCTTGATGAGTGGAAGAATAATTTAGA